TACCCAACTGTTGATTCCTAGTTGCACTCTATTTAGTTTGTTCCTTATATGCATATTCTCTCAGGCAGCTGGCTAATCCCATACTCTAACACTACGTGCCTGGAAATCAGCCACAGTATATTTTTGCTAATTTTGACTGTGCCCTAACTACATATTACTTTTACTCATTTTCAAAAGTTAGCCCTACCCACCCAGTGGTATTTATCTTCTGAATGCTAACTACAATTCTATTCAACAGTTCTTTGAATTATTTTTCTGTTTTTCCATAGCAGAATTGTGCTTCTGATACTTTCTCTCCTTTTCTATAAAGGTGCAATGTTCCTGACATTTCATGTTACATCTACAGCCTCTCACTGCCATGTATAATACTGTGAAGTGTCTGTGTTTAACTATCTTTTTTGCTATGCACTGAAAAAAATAAAGAATGTCAAAAAAATAAATCTTTAAAGACAAATTTTTATAAAATTATAATTGGCATTAACACCGTAAATCATTGGTATTTGCTCATTATCTTCTTTATTTTGTCTTGATTTATATTGCCTCTCATATTTTTTTAACTTTGTCTATATCTTCATTTAAACATTTTTTAAGAAATCCTTTTTTTTTATAACCTGTCATTTTAAAATTTGAACTTGTATCTCGAATACCTTAATATCAAAAAAGTTCATACATATCCTCAAAAACTGACCTTTCAGAATATTCTCAACCAAGGACAGAAAGGGATACTATCTTTTTGAATGAAGCTATTAACATCAACTGGTTTTAAAAAAAAGTCTTTATTTGTCCATTTTCTATATGAATATTTAAATCTAAAAAAAAATACTTGAATGTCACTTTATTTTATTATAATAATATCACTATCACACTCACTAATTTCATGAGTTAAGCTGATATCATACCTTCTTTCCATATAATAAAAATATAATCTATAAATCTCTTGTATAGGACCAGTTTCTACGTCCAGTCATGCTGGGAACAAACAATATTTTTTCCCCAAAAAAAGGTATAAATATGTTAGCATATATGGGCACAAACCTTGTCCCTATAGTTGTACCTCTGCATTGTAAAAAAATATTGTCCCTCAAACTACAACAAAATATTTTTAAGTATCAATTCGATACCCTCCAGAATTAATAAAATCTATTCATGAGGGAACAGTTTTATATACTCTAAAAAAAACTGCAATATTCAACTTTTGGACTTCCAGTTTAAAGGCAAAGGAAAGAGAGGATAATTATGCACTTGACATAGATTATTTTTCTACAGATCTAAGCTGTTTTATTAACTTAAAATAGCCTTCAATTTTAAGAAGATTTGTATAAGTATCACAGTGTGTTATTTGGTGATATGTGTCACTAATTATATTTATTTATTACTGTGTGCAAACTGTAAACAAACCTCACATCACCAGCCACAAGAACAAGCATCAGATCGAGTGGTGTGACAAAGTGTGCTTCTCTGTTTGGCAGTCTGATGGGCATGTCTGGCAGATGCCAGGAGAATGTTGCCTGACTGCAATGTGCCAACTGTAGTTTGGTGGAGGAGGGATAATGGCTTTTTTTCATGGGTTGTGCTAGACTCCTTACTTCCAGTGAAGAGAAATCTTAAAGCTGGTCTGTATCAAAATAACATCCTTTTGATCATGGCCAGCAGTAAGTTTTTCTACAATTTGAATTATGGATGGGCTCGCCTTTGCTCCCCACATGCATCAATGAGCATGATTGCGTTTCAGCTGATGGCACAGTGGAGATTATTGGCAGGCAATGGCGGTCAGGACTGTGGGCAGTGCTGGGGTTTTAATAGTTAGCTGATTCAGTTTTATTTGTGTCAATTCAGGGAGCATGAGGACACTCCAGGGGTTGGTGAGTGCTGGAAAAGGGGGGGAGGAGGGCCTGGTCTCCACCAACCCAATCACCCTCAGGCAACAGGTTTCATACAGGGGGGCTCTAGCCAGGTTGACCAGGTGTCCTGGTCTTTTATTTCTAGAATGTGGTGACCCTGAACATGAGCTTTCTAGGTTAGTGTTAGAAAACTGTAGGGGTTAACATTTAGTGTTGGTCTATAGCACAGGTTAATGTTTAGTGCCGTGTAGAAGTTAATATTGTGTGATAGTGTAGTGCAGAAGTTCATGTTAAATTATAGTGTAAAGGAAGGCAGGTATTATTGTGTAGTGCAGTGTGTTAAGGTAGCGTTAGAGTTAACGGTAATACTTTGTTATAAAGGGACTCTTGGTAAATACATGTCTGAGTGCTGCCTGAGATTAGTGAGAGTTATTGACACAGCAGCTATTTATCAAATGTAAGAAGGTGTCTCTCAGGAATTTAACTCCTACTGTTGTCAGAGAGACAACTACATGTATGCCACTGTTCTGCCTGAGTTTAGGGCTTTGGTTTGCATGGAGGTGGCAATCATTATAACACACTAATTAATTACTGAGAATAATTGCATTTAAGATTTCACAAATAATGCAGTAATTCTAAGTGTAATCTGAACATTATTTCAGTATATGTAGAATAATGACTGTTTTTCCATTTCTGTGTGCTTGAAATAAGTAGGATGAGATGATGTCAAGGTGTGTATAAGTGTTGTGCTGGGAATACTGTGACGAATAAATGTTCCCATTTTTCACACCAGTGAGCCTTCAAAAACATTTATTCCTCTGAGCACAAGGATTCCTCGTTTTTTTTAAGAGAGTCCACTAAAGTTTATTTTATTTCAAGCTCACCAGCAGTGAACCTTTACAGTCAGAGGCAACTTGTCATGTATATAAATAAAACATACATATTTATCTGTAAACTCTACCAGTTAATTCAAGTAATATACTTCATTATTTACCAAAGCTGCTGATGCCCATATAGGTCTGTATTATGTTGTAGAAACCTAGACATAAATTTTGGTTATTCTACCAATACCATCTACTTCAAAAGTACATGCGTCCGACTAGAAATAGTGTAAAACCTTGTTGCACCACTGCATGGATAGAGCCTAATAGTAGAGTGGGGGTTGAGTGGATAGAGCCTTCAAGGAGTAGAGTGGGGGTTGAGTGCCCTGAAGGACCCAGTGCTCTCGTACTGCAGACAGACCTATTGCACCTATTTGATTGCATTGTTTTTCTGTGCTGGAGTGACTTCTTTGTTGAGGGGGTGTTCTTGTTATATCTTTAATTGTTTGTTTTTTTGGAGGCGGGTATTTAATAATAGTGAGCTGTGCGTGCTCGGTGCTGGGGTACATTTTTGCTCCCAATGGTGCTCGAAAGGAGTCTTAATGCAAGCTCTCTTTTTTCCATCCTCTCTTTTTTGGGGACTGGACCATATTTTTTTCTTACCTGATCCTCCCTTTCTGTTATTGTGTCCTACAACCTCCGTATACGAGACCATATCCAGCAACTAGATGGCTGCTCTGTCCTGGCTCTATGAACCCATGTTCTTCTTTTTCTCTTGTCACTGCTTGTGCTCCTGAGAAAAAGCAGGGGCCTCTTTATTACATGCCCAGTGTTGCATGGTTATACCACAACTATAACTTCTGCCTTCATACTCACACACACATGCAAGTAGCATTTCTTTCACACACTGTTTTTATGTTTGTTTGTTTTTCCTGCTTTTATGCTCTCTTAGGGACTGTTAAACGTTTCCCTTTTCTGCATCCTCGTTACTCATATTTCCTGTTAAATGGCTGTCCTGCACAATCACCTTTTTCTTTGATTACATAGGGCTTGTTTTGTTGTGCTGTATCTTCAGTAAACAATGACTAAAAAAAATAAATTAACAATGCTACGTGAAGGCGTAGCAGCATGAACAAGTTATGAGCAATAGCCTCTACCCTCAAAGGCTAACATAAGGCAGAACAATGCTGGTCTTGAAGGACCCTCACGACTTTTTGTCTTCCCACAAAAAGTTCTGTCAGGTATCACAGCCTCCAAGATCAATGGGCATATGAGTCTGTACATGAGAAATACTCAAAAGAGATTGGAAATAACACTAGAGGATCAACACACTAACTGCTGGCAGACCAAAGAGTCTCATTGGATTCTAGTACTCACTAGACCTATGATTTATATCAGAGTGTACATAGAAAATCGAAAAATGATAAAAAATAAATACACATGGTGTATGATGCACTCCATGGGATTCTAAGACCAGACTGACCAATTTGTGCATATGCTGGATTTACTACAAGAAAGCCTGTGTCGCAATGCCACACTAATGGATACTGAAATGCTTGGCTCTATACAATGTCAACGACACAAGAATAGCCTTCATGAGGTACTTGAAGATGGAAGATGATCAAGACAGGAAAAGTACCAGTCATCAGGTACCCAGCTAAAATAATAACCTGGCCAAGAGAAGAGCTGATCTTCATTGATGTCAAGACATGGAAACTACTTCCTATGAATTAAAGATTACACCCAAAATCCGGCACCCATGACTGTTCACGAACCGGAAGGAATGTTATCATGGCCTGATTAGTGTTAAGGCTGCAATCCTGGATGAAACACAGAGCACATCACCAAAAGTACATCACCAACATGGCTCCCAAAGATGAACAGCTAAAAGAATATCTGAAACAACAACAGATAGATAATACAGAAAAGGAGTGGATGTGGCTCACATTCCAAAATCCTACCATCGGTTGAAAAATGCAGGACTGAAAGACAGTAATGAGGCAGCAATCCTAGCAACTCAGGGATAGACACTCAGCACCAGATCAATAGAAGCATGAGTCTACCACACCAGCTAAGACCTAAAGTGCAGTCTGTGCAAAGAGGCCTCTGAGACAACCCAGCACATAGTAGGTGTGAGCAAGATATTAGCAGGGACTGCTTACACTGAGAGGCACAACCAATGTGCTGGGATTGTGTACCAAAATAACTGCACAGAATATGTGCCTGAGAATGAGGAATACAAACAAATAAAATATTGGTTTATACCACCAAGTATTGTTCAGAAAAACATATATATAGGATTCTTTGATTTATTTATTTTTCATAATGATTGGTAGTGAAGAGATTAACATTAGCCATTCGAACCATACCTGTATGATTGCTCATGGAAATACCTTCAGTTAGATCCTTCTAAAAAAACAATGTAAATATTGAATATGATGTGTGCAAACACGGTGTCACTTGGATGAAAGGTGATAATATATGTTGCATTTCTATTTTCTCTGTAGCAGACAGATGCTGAAATGTATTTTAACATGTCCACTGTGACTTTGACAGTTTTTCTTTTTGTTTGATGCCTTTGATATTCTTATCCACCATCACGTGCTAACTGGAGGATATAATATTTCTGAAATGGATGAGACAAAATTCACACCTAAAAATTTTACAAAACCATTAACAAAACATCTCCAATGTAATGAACTGCAATCAAAATCACTCTATATTCATCCTTAGCATAGTTTGTTTTGTAATGGTGTTATACTTAAAGTGGAACTGTCTTGTTTTTTTTCTTCTTTGTTTTCCTTTCCTTATGCCAATTGTATGTTCATGTTTATGCTCCAGCATTGCCACTTGCCTTTATTTATATTTATTAGCATTTAGTCCTTATGTCAGCTCTCGATAACTGGGTGTCTCCATTTTGTTCTCCTCTGTCCATGATGTCTGCAGTTTGCCCTTCTGTGTAACAAGAACAACGGATTGTTAAAATTTAACTACTAAGTTAGTTACCGAACTGGAACTTTGAATTACCTTATCCTTTGCAAGATATTGTCAAAGATCACTCTCCCCACAGGAAAAAATAGTCCATACTCTTTTTTTATAACTAAAATACTAAAGTAAATAAAACCATGACAACAAGGAAATAGAGATGCAAGCATCAATAAATGAGGCCAAGCACAAAAGTCTGTAGAGCTTATTAGCAGATAGATAATTACATAGAAAAGATATGCATTCATAAAGTTATTTGAAGATTTTTCAAAACTGGCTATGCAATACAATATGGCCAACAGACCTCGTGGCATATGGACTTCATAATGCAGAGCAGAGCACATTGTTGCTATTATTCATGGCACCAATTTTGAAGTGCTTCTATGAAGATCTTTTGATTTTGTCACTATTTGCACATCTGTGACAATTTCAAAATGTCTGTCAAACCATATGACTGATTAACCAATGGATGTGACCAAGCATAAGAGCATGCATGCGGCACTTGCATTTGCACTTGCATAGATACTGCATATACAAAAGTAGATTGCAAAGATTGGTAGATTGTTTAAATCAATTGTTTTATTGCTGGATGCAAACCAGATAATGTATTAATAAATAGAAATTGAAATTAAGATTGTGTATAAAAGCAACAAGATTGAGAAAGATGTGGTAAAAAAAAAACGAAACAAACAATGAAAACGTTTAAAATAATTGTTATAGGATATATAAGGGAGAGCAAAAAAACGGGTTGCAAGAGATTGCTGAGAATGGACAACAGCTAGAATGGCTTGTTCTTCAGTGGGTCTCCACTTAGTTCTCAAGCTGGTTTTAGTTCATCTTATATAATTATGGATAGAATAAAATCCATTTGCATATCAGACTCATCCCACCCAAAAGTATGGTGCAAATCCAAAATGGAGGCCATCTCCCTCTGCATTAGAAATACAGGAACCCCAGATGATCAATGCATAGTTTTTAGCATATACCCCCATAGGCATTGTGAGCAGGAGGTCCACGTCTGCATTAAATGTTTACCTCAGGGAAAGGAAAAAAAACAGTGTTAAACAAAAGTAATAAAATCAGCTGAATTACAGGAAAGAAACTATCTTCAGATACTTGTTGTCGTAACTCCAGTTCCACAGGGGAATTGAATGTAACACAATGTGGACACTTACATTATTAAATGTATCCCAGATCCTAATATTGGTGCTGGATTAATCCCATAAGCAGAAATCACTAAAACCAACTAAACACTCATAAGAATCTCAGAATATTCTACAAGATAGATCATTGAAAATGCTTATTTTATTGTAGAAAAAATGGTTAACAACTTGCCATAAAAATACGCGCAGACTTCATAAGTTACAGGCAATTCTCAAGCACATGTCAATTAATGCAGACTCTTTCTCCCTCAGGGGAGTCCAAGGATTGAAAATTTAAAAAAAAAAATGCAATAATACAAAAATACAAATAAAGGAAATACCTGCACCTGCCAGAAGGGAAAACAAACTATGAAAAAGCTTACAGTAACCCTGGACATGCTTCATGCCTGTTCTGATGCTTTATCAACATGCTATCAACTAGACATGTGCAATTTGTTTCATTACGATTCTACATTTGGCCGAATTTCATGCAATTCAGACATTTGGATGCTTACGAATGTCCAAAGTTCGAATTGCAGAATTTCCGAATTTGCCGAAGTGCTGAAGTTACGAATTAGTTCGGATTTCTGAAAAGTGGCAAAACAAGTATAAGGGGTTAAGGGTTAGGGGCAAAACAAGTGGTTAGGGTTTGGGTTAGGTTTAGGGTTAGAGTTTAGAGTTAGGGGTTAGGGGTTAGGGGTTAGGGGTTAGGGTTAGGGTCTGAATTACCGAAGTTCCGAATTGCCGAAATGACGACTTGCCGAACCGAACCGAATGCCATTGGTTCGAATTGCCAAAGCAGACAAATTTTTTTACTTACCCGAATTTCCAAACCGAACCAGATTTTTTGCCAATGCACATCCCTATTATCAACATGTTTTTCAACAAAGTAATGCATTATTGCATTGTTTTGGACACCGCAAATGATCAAACAAAATTCAGATTGTATTCCAATGCAATGAAATAGTAAAATTTACTTGAAAAAACCTACCTAGTATCTTAACACTATTTCTATTATTAGTAGTATTAATCAGGGCCGCCATCAGGGGGTGACAACCGTGACTGTTGTCACGGGCCCGGCGGCCCTGGGGGGCCCGGACTGCTCTGGCAGTCCTGGGCCCCACTTTGTTTCTCTGCACACATAGATAGCGAATATCGCTATCTATGTGTGCAGCCGCGGGCCCCCGGCTCCCTGTTACCGCAGAGGGGGCCCAGGCAGCACAGGAGCAGCTTCTCCTCCTCTCTTCTTTCTTCTAATAACTCTCGCGAGACCCGGTTACCATGGTAACGCTCCGCGGGTCTCGCGAGAGTTATGAGAAGAGGAGAAGCTGTGTGCTGCCTGGGCCCCTTCTGTGGACGGTGACAGGGAGCCGGGGGGACCCCCACCGGACCACCACGGATGGAATCTCCCCCCTCCATGGACACAGGTAAGCAGGGAGGGGGGAGAAACATTTAATTAAATTAATAAAAAATTAATGTTAAAATGCCCCTTCCTCCCCCTCACCCCAGATCACACACTAACAACACACACTGCATACACTAACACAACACACACACACACACTGCATACACTAACACAACACACACTGCATACACTAACACAACACACACACTGCATACACTAACACAACACACGCACTACATACACTAACACAACACACACACACACTGCATACACTAACACAACACACACTGCATACACTAACACAACACACACACTGCATACACTAACACAACACACACTGCATACACTAAAACAACACACACTACATACACTAACACAACACACACTGCATACACTAAAACAACACACACACTACATACACTAACACAACACACACTGCATACACTAACACAAAACACACATTGCATACACTAACACAACACACACAATACATACACTAACACAACCCACACACACTGCATACACTAACACAACACACACTGCATACACTAACACAACACACACACTACATACACTAACACAACACACACACACTGCATACACTAACACAACACACACTGCATACACTAACACAACACACACACACACACACGCTGCATCCACTAACACAACACACACACTGCATTCGCTACACATTAACACACTCTGCATCCGCTACACACTAACACACACTCTGCATCCACTATACTGACACACACTCTACATTCGCTACACATTAACACACTCTGCATTCACTACACTAACGCACACTCTGCATCCACTACACACTAACACACTCTCTGCATTCACTACACTAACACACACTCTGCATCCGCTACACTAACACACACTCTGCATCTGCCACACACTAACACACTCTCTGCATTCACTACACTAACACACACTCTGCATCCGCTACACACTAACCCACTCTCTGCATTCACTACACATTAACACACTCTGCATTCACTACACTAACACACACACTCTGCATCCGCTACACACTAACACAATCTCTGCATTCACTACACTAACACACACTCTGCATCCGCTACACACTAACACACTCTCTGCATTCACTACACTAACACACACTCTGCATCCGCTACACACTAACACACTCTCTGCATTCACTACACTAACACACACTCTGCATCCGCTACACACTAACACACGCTCTGCATTCACTACACATTAACACACACTCTGCATTCACTGCATTAACACACACACTACATTCATTACACTGACATACTCTGCATTCACTATACTGACACACACTCTGCATTCACTATACTAACATACACTCTGCATTAACTGTACACACAATGCATCCGCTACACAAACACACACTCTGCATTCACTGTACAAACAGTATCTAATACACACAAACACTACATCCATTACACACATTCTAATTCACTTCCACTATACACACCACATTCAGTCTTGCATCATTGTCAGCGGACCAGGTAGGGCGTGTGCGGGCCCGGGAGGGAGGGAGGGGGGGGCCCAAACCTTGTGATTTGTCAGGGGCCCCAAAATTTCTGATGTCGGCCCTGGTATTAATGTTAGCAGAGTAGTATAGCTACTCTCTTAGCATGCATCACTCTGTTAACTTTATAGCACCTTTCAGTGCCACAAGCAGCACACTGTGTTGCTCACTGCTGAAGCACATTCATGGTTAATCAGAAGGTTACTGTTTCCTAGAGTAGTTGCCATGGCAATTAATTGGAAAACGCACCTTTTTCCAAGTTTCAAAATGCTAAATGCTATGTGGTTGTTGTTATCATTTTGAGACAGAAGTTAAATCTTGGAATCAAGTTAGTGATTTGTCATTGCAAATATTTACTGCCTCTTTACTAGTAAAAACAGGTTACAGCTGATTTAGCATCCACTTTTGAAACATGCCCTAAATTGTGTTTATTTGAGTCAATAGTAAAAATTGCCTAGACATCTATATATTTAGAATATTTTAGTGTTGAATTACAGTTCTAGTTAAACTGCTAAAGACAGAAAAAGATTAATTCAAGCTACAACATTCAAGAATTAATTACACTGTCTGCTATAATTTAATATGGCAAAGTCCTCTGAAATCATTGTATTTAATCCATAATCAACTATATATTACTAACTATGCAGGCTTTGTGAAGAAGACTCCATATTTAAATATCTAAGTAATTGAATAATTGTGTTATGATGTACACATACATTGTTGCAGCCACTCATGAAATAAGGACAATAAGTCATTGAATTATCAGCATGTGTGCATGCAAATTAAAGTCTTTAATGCTAAAATGTCTAATATGCAAATTGACTTGCTTTTGTAATACATTTTACTGATTCCGCATTAATAAATATATAAAACATAACTGAGTAAATTAAGTTGAGGTTAGTTCAACAGTATTCATTAGTCTTTAAAAAAAATACGGTAGGACAGAATACATTCCACAGCAGTGACTGCCATTTATTTTTATTTATCCCTGACATTTATAAAGCGCCAACATATTCCACAGTGCTGTACAACTGGAGGAGAGGGGAGCAATACAATATACACCGACCAGTACAAAAGGTTAAGAGGACCCTACCAGAGCGCTGAGATTTAGCCATTAAAGCTCATTTAGTCAAAGTGCCTAGTTAAATAGCCTGTGAGCTTACAATAAAAAAAAGCAGACAAAAGGCAAATGTAAGAACCAGAAGAATTTGAACTAAACAGTGACTTTTGATTTTATTTGTATCATTTTGTTTTTATACTTTGTTGCTGGCATTGAGAAACCTGGATTGTAACCTGGATCCACATGTGTGGAGATATGCCCAGATTTGCTGCCTGCTTGTAAGTGCAACTTTAATAAATCTTCTGTGATTTTACTGTACTTCACCATATGTGGTTCTCATTCTGCATTTATCTAAGGAATCTATGAAGATCTATATGGCTGATATCTACTGGCTCTATTATTCGTATTAACCCCTGGTGGGGTGAGAAGCCTACTTTTCACTTATGTTTGTGAGTTTAATACTTACCAGCACTAATTTCACTTTACCATAATTGTATTACGCTATGGAATGTTTATTCCTATTATAGGTTTACACTGATTATATTATCCTGGTCCAATTACCAGGTTGTATTTTATTATTATTTTTACATGTACTGTTTTTTTTTCCCCACTTTTCTCTCTAAATGTAAGAACCAGCCTCATAAACAATATATTTGAAAGATCGTATTCACAATATTCTGTTTGACATGCAGGAAATACAAATAAATGCATTATTTTGGCTATGCAGTTTTCAACAGCCACATGTCCAGATGTTCAGAGATGTACTAGAAGCATTGAGCAGACAGTTGGAAAACTGAAAAGTAATACATAAATTAGTTTAAGGCCTTCTGACACTTTTGCACCTGACAAATATATAATAGTGAATTTTTATAATTAAAATTATTTCACATTTACCCATTTTACATTGGCTAGATAATGCATGACTTATTTCCTTTATTTTTGTCTTCCCTAGTGGTTGCAATTACACATTATCATTCCTAAACTAAATTGCTTGATATAAGAAGTTACATATTAACAATACATTCTTAAATATGAATATATTTTCAAAGTTCTGTCAGTTTGGAATGAGGAACAATGTCAATAAATTTGCAAACTTTAGCATAGTCTCATACTAGGATTAATAAGGCAGACTATCTGCTACTCAAAGATTGTTCTTTTTGCTGAACAACACTTTGCCCACCACCCCCACCCCAAAGAGCTTCTTCTCCATTCTATCCACCTTCTTTCTGGTGCCCAGATTGGCACTCTGAATCATGAATGTAAGCATGGTTGGTGAATTGCAGTTCACCAAAAACACATTTTAAAGTTTACCATCTAGTGTATTACCTTTTCTATTCTCAAACTCTCCAGTTTAATCAGTTTCAGTTCAAAGTTATGTTTTAATTAGTTTTTTAAAAGAAACATAAAAGGGATGTATACATTAAAAAATAAATGTTAGGTGTGAGCATTTAAAAAAAAATAAATCCTATATCTTTTAAGCTTAGTAATTGTTGTACTCTGTCCGATCTATTTTTACTAAATACACTAAGTATTCTTGTAATTTCATTTTAGACTCAATGCTGTGTAACACAGAAAAGAGATGACTAATGCTCTTTGATTTCTGCGCACCTTGTTGGACGACTTTACCATCAGAACCATTCATATGGACACCAATGGGAACAGGAAATGTGGAATTGCTGGAACATAAGAAGTGGGACCAAACTATATTTACCTCTTTTAGAATCATTACTTGTTACAATTTCATGTAAGTTGCTGCAAAGTTGTCTCTTGGTGGTATTTATATTCAATAAAACTACCTTGAATTTACCCTTTTGCCTAACCTTCGTGCATTATTTATTAGGGGTCATAGCAAAAGAGGAATACTGATGTATATGTAGTGGATATGTCCTTTAATAACTCCAGTTTGGACTTGGGCACTCCAAAGTTCTAAGTGATATTTTTAAAATTGAAAACTCTTGGACTTCTCTTTAGAACTGAGAAATCAAAATCCTTCTCTCTTTTCACAGCTACTAGGATTGGAATCACAAAGCATTAGAAGACTTCCTACTGCTATCCCTTGTATCCAAAGCAAAAAATGGTTCATCTTTACCATGAAACTTATCACTCACTCACACCTATATATATATTAAATTTGTCATTTTGACTGAATAAACAAAAAAACACCTGATATCAGGTCCCTTCTTGCTCTACGTGGAAGGGCTGGAAAGGTATAGTCCCCTTCAAGCTTTCTCTTCTTGCCTAAATCATAGGGAACTCTTCGTGCTTCTCTTCTTTCCTCTGAGCTTAATATATTTACTAGCCATGGTGAACCTTTTATAGCATGAGTGCCCAAACTCCAACTCAAATCAAATTATTTATCTCAAAGTGCCAACACTGCAATAAATTAATGAATAATGTTCATATGTTAAAAGTTGTTGCCAACTATGACTGCAAAACCTCCTACTTCCAATAACAATAATGTAACAATAACTTGATAAATGCACACACAGAACTGTTTAAATGTATTCAGTTCGACCCAGTAAAAATAAGTATATATCAACATAGCAGAGGTCTGCTGGACAATTCTTATGCAATATATCAAAAACCCAGGCAGCACTGTCCTAGCTCCAGTGTTTAAGTCGTTTACATTGTATAACATTCTTCTTTTATTGTCACTTTTAAAGGGATAATGCATAATGACCAACTCACTAATTGAAGTGCTCATGTTGCCTAAAGTCTGTATGTGCAATGTGGCGGAAGTGACCTAACCACTGGTTCTTTGA